ATTGATCGAATATCGTTTTATAATCGTATTGTGTGCAAACAATCAATTTATGTAGTTGATTAGGTACCCGGTTTCTTTGTTCTTTTCGACCAAGAGATCATTCAAGAGTTTAACATCTTCGAATTCTCCATTAAGAGTGGAACCAAGAATGGCCGCAACACATATGGTGTTCTCATCGACCATCTCAACAGCTTTCTCCGGGTCCATCACATAATATCCTTCACTTAGTTTCACTTCCTTAAGCTCAACCTCAAAGTACCTAGCGAATTTCTCCCAACACACCTAAATTTTTTAACATTATAAGAAATTAATCAAACGTTATGATTATAAAATATTTCATTATAATTCTCTTAAAAAATGTTATTTACTTGAACATTGGCTCCGGTAACAATGTTGGGTTTATCAACGGGTTTGCCTTCGGCTTTACGCTTGTTCTGCCATTTTCGCTTGAAGGCCAAACCGGCCAACATTATGGCCTCCGATGATCCAACAGTCCCTACTCCGACGGCGGTCTCCGTCTCTCCTAACGGTGCATTGAATAAGTGTGCAATCATGTTCACACATCGGTTCTGTTTTTACAATATTTTTTTAAAAATAAATTAATTAGTGAAAACCCACTTGCCTAATGACTTTTTAACATCGAGATTGATGCTTAATGATAATAATCTTAGTGAATAGCAACGTGACACATCTTAAGAATACTAACTAAAATAATGCACACTCAAAGTGGTGGAGATTAATAAGTCAAAATAATATACTATTCTCTAGTCCAACATTAGATCGTGTAAATCTTATAATGTAAACAATTCCGATCAGATGCTTGACAAAAATTTACGATCAGATTAAAAATGTTAGAAAATTTGACCCTACTATGATTTCTTAAATATTATTCTTTGGGTCTTTAATTTAAAATACGAGGAATCTAATCATTTGAAATGACAACCAGAAATTTCTATTTTATTATTATTATATCCGTGATGGCTCGATCACTATATAATTAAACTTTTTTTTGGCCGGCTATCAATTTAAATATTATCAGGACCAACGATTCAGATTTAAAGTAAACCTTCACAAATAACTCAACAAGTAACACATGGCTAGTATTTGAGGAAACGAAGTAGTAGAAATATTCCCCTAATTACTATAGTACAGTTCAAATTAATTAATCCAAAATTGATCAACACAGCCATAGAAAAAGTCAAGACAGACGGTGTAAATTTATACAGAGAGATAATAGGGTCAATAATGAAGCATCTTATTAATAATATAGACTAATTATAGTATCAAATATTAATATGGCCAACGAATTAAATCTAAAGAAAACCCTCGCATTACTAACGCAATGGCTAGTTATTGTGAGATCCAACCTCCTCCCGAAAAAAAAAACTTTCTAGAAAAGCTGAAATAAAATAGTAATAATGTACCCCTAATTACCATAGTATAGCTTAAACTAACCCATATTTGATTATCGTAGCCAACTAGCCATAGAAAAAGTCAACATAGTTATTTTCTTTTCTTTTTCAACATAGTTGGTATACATCTTTATACTTATAGAAAAAAAGATTCAGTAATTAAATCATCTAATGAATACTACTGATGAATAATGGTATTTAACATCCAAAAACATCAGCCAAAATATACAGTAGAATCTAGATCCAAAAATTTCAATAGCCGGTCCAAACATTTTAGCTTATCACAAAGTCGTCTAGATGCTTTAAACATATACATTTCTCTCCATATATCTATAGGCCAATATACAATTATGTATAAACTCGTATTTAAGAGAATTATGACATATATGATCAAAATACCTGGAGTTCGGTGGTGACAGGGTACTCGTCCATGTCGACATAGTTCTTGTTAATGGAGGACATGATGAGTTTATCACATTCAGGCTCCATCCACGTGGTCACGAAGGAGGCCAAGTTTAACCTTGGATTCCCATCAAGCATCAGCTCGTCGTTGATGATCTGATACGCCGCTTCTTTCGGTATCGAGTTTTCCGGCATCTTGAACCTGATATTTACGTTTTCAGCCCTCCATTTTAATGGAAATTACATATATATAACGTGATCAAGATTGTTAGGCTATATATATACCTGGGAAGTGAAGTACGGACGTATCGTGATGCGAATGTGGAGTGGACGGAGACATCTGACTCAGATACGGCGTGAGAGAGCACCATCACGGCGATGAGAGAGAGAATAACAAGAGATTATGATGATTAGAGAGAGAGAAAGTGATGAATGGGAATATTGGTGGAAGAAGAGAAAGGACCTTAAGGGAGTGTTTTATAGCAATAATAAATGATATTCTTTGAATGGTAATCATGTGGGATACTTGCGTAATAATTTATTCAAATAAAACGACTTTTAGGAAACTTCCTTTTTTAAAAAGATTTTCTTCTAAAGACGCCTATGTGCATTGTTTGAATTAGCAAAATAATGCCCCTAGTTTCCCTAGTTTTCTGAAAATCGAAATTAGAAACATTGAAAACACAGTTTTCCTTACATTAATTTTTTCAACAATTTCTTTACAAAAAAAGTATGTTTGGAAGCACGGTGAAAATAATCAATGGTATTGTGAATGATAAATTTATATCTATTGAATTGAGTAGTGTTGACAACAACGGACTAGACAATTGTTTAGACACTATGCGGATTCCCACCGTAGCAATCATATTTTAAACGGTAAGTTTAGGCGGAAATGAAAATTTGACATTGTAATTATGCGGTGTTTAGACGCCTAATCAGTCGAGATGGTTTAGGCGTTTCGTCCACCTTATATATGTTTGTTATTGAAAATTTAAATTATTATCAGTCTAACATGTTAAAACTTCCATTTTCAATTATAATCCTATATTTACTATATAGTAAACACCGAACTTTAAAAATTTGATAATATTTCGTAGTAGGAAAACGAGCGAACTTTAATTATTTAACCAAATTGAATTATATTTTTATTATTATTTTAAACTTCAAAATGTGTCAGATAGAGATATCTTTGGAGAAAACTCTAGCCGTCAGAAAAAAAGAGAGAAAAAGATGATTTGAGTTTTCTTCTCCGATGTCCGGTGTTTTTGCTGGCATCATGAGAGGGAAAGGGTGGTAAACTAATAGAGTTTCTACGTTCGACATGAAGTGTAAGATATGTCTAGGAGTTTTTAGTCAGAAGACGATGTGATGTTATTCACAGTCTAGTTTTTATGAGTTATTGTGATTTTCTTCATTGAGTTTAGTTTATGATTCCTATCATTGGATTTAGTTTTTTGGGTAAAGGTTTTAGTGGAGGTTTTTTTCCTCGTAGAAAATCTATGATTTGCTTTAGTTTCTAATCAATTCTGGCTATCTATTTGATTTAAATTTTGCAATTCAAAATTGTTCAACGGTGGCTTTACTGAAGCTAACTCGAAACAAAATTGACAAAGACAATCAAGAAAAGAGTTTTATCTCAATTAAGAGAATTGTTATATGATATCGTAATAGATATGAGAAGTCCAGCTGCTATTATGGATTCGGGAACACCTAATCGTCTATCTTCGATTCAAAACAAGAGCATCTTGGTATCGTTAATGTGTCGTCAACAATTATTGTCCTCACTTAATTTTTGGTGCGGAAAAATCCATTAGTTTCTCTTTATATCGCATTTGTTGAACTTCTTCATTGATGTAATCTGTTTTGAATCCGTTTC